ATGTACCCGCTCGCTCGCTGCAGGCGAGCCAGAGCCGGGCGGCGGGGAGGGGCAGGGGGAGGGCGCAGTGGGGTGGGGGGCGCCGCGGCGTGGTGTCTTCTGCCCAGCAGCCGTCGAGCCACCCTCCCCCCTCCGCCCTCCCCTCCCCCCTCCGCCCTCCCCCTCCCCCGCCCCCCGCATGCCTTCCACCCCCGCGCCATCTGATATCCCAGGGCCTCACTCGTCTGCGCAGCCAGCGGACGGGCAGTTGCAAGCTGCCAAGATAGGCCCCTCAAAAGCTGTTTCCCAACGTCATCTGCAATTATATTATGCTCGGCATCAGGCATCTTGAGCGTGCTGCTCTTGCCGCAGGGAATCTGGAATGCAGGACCCCTAGCTACTAGTGCAGTACGCTCGGTGCCATGCATTGGGAAAGAGGAAAGAAAAACAACGACATAGCATATGATAACCCTGCGGTGAGCCCTAGCCTCAAGAGCCGAAGCAGGGGTCACGATATGGTGTATGGTGATGGTGGTTCGTTTGACGAGAGCTCCCACGACAAAGTGCGCAAGTGATTGAGCAGCAAGCGATGGGCTCCGTGTTTGCATCGATAGTGGCCTGCAGGCACTGTTTCGGTCCAGCAGTTTTCAGTTGGTAGCAATGCCCACGCAAGTATTATCATATCATCCCAGTCATCGAAAATCGCAATGCGGGTGCGGCCGCCCTGCGGTACCTGTGCTGCAGCAGCGACTCCTCGGAGCAGGCAAAGCATGGCTAGGCGCCGGCGCCGGCGCTTGCTCAGCATATCATACGTTGGTACAGTGCTTTGTAAGGCGAGACTGAGGCACACCCCCCCCACCCAGCGGGGTGTGAAGCGCGGAACAGAGGAACGGGCCTTGCCTGTATCTCACCCGCGGATAGCCCCCCGTCCCGGTTGAATCTGCAGCTGCCATCCTCGCTTTCCCCCTTAGACTTTTGCCTAGTCTCGTAGGCCACTGCCACCGCAGCGAGCATCTACCAAGTGACTTGCCCCCCGTTCCTATATGTCAAAGATGCAATGCAGTCAAGCTACTTTGTGGATTCTGCTGCTTCACCCGAAGCTGCCAGTGCAAGCAAGCAGGCATTCGTCCGAAGCACATTTCAGCGAGCCTTCTCCCCGTACCTGGCCCGAGCTCCATGTGTCGCAGTGGCCACCCAGTCTGATCACACAGCACACGAAAAAGCAAAAGTGGCGAGGTGACAAAGAGAGTAGCACTTAGGTTGGAGACAGGTAGCACCGTAGCACCGTAGCCCTGTCCATCTGTTTAAGCAGCACAGAGCCGCACAGCCATCAACTACGGTATGCACTTTAATAGCACTTTACAACTGTCAAAGCCCCCCCCCCCGCAGGCACTTCAATCGCTATCAACTCCTCTTGACGTTTACATTGGATCAAATGTATACTATCTGGCCAGTCAAACGGGCAGAAGAAATTAAGGTGGCAGGTCAGCTGAGAGTTACTGCTACTCAACGAACAATCTATCTAAATCCTGCTATCGTCGTGGAAGCAGCCAGTTTTTCAACTGTATGGATGCGAGGTTCCGCTAATTTGTTACGCAGGGTTCGCCCAAAACAGACTAGATGCCATATGGATTCACACTTTGCAAGGATATTCTCGAATAAGTAGAGCCTAGGACGAGATGCATTCAGATATCGGATAGGTTTTGTGCAACTTCGCGCAACTCCGAGCTTATACTCCATCCTCCATCACATACCTTGTACTCTAGACCAGCCTTGATCGCTGAAGCATCAAAATTGACATCCGATTCTAACATCTAATTTCCATTTTATTTGATCACAAAATGCAGCCCTGTCACTTTTTTCATCCCTTGAAATGGCTTGCTCCCCGTCAACCCGGGCTCCTTCAGACAAAAAGCTTTCCTACAGATAGCGCCGGATATTATCCGCAATGCCGTTCGAAGTCCTAAGCAAGCTTATGTAGCTGTTCGAATTTGAAGAATTTTGCAGAAGAAAATAGAAAGAAATAAATCCAAAAATGGGTAGGTAGGCCAGCTCGACCACATGGCGCAACAAGCAAGCAAGAACCAACCAAGTCTTTTTTATTTATTTTTTTTTTTTTCCCCACCGGAGTCCCCTTTTACAGCATTATTTCGCAAGTACAAGCCGCATTAAGTATCTGCAGTTGCTAGCTCAAATTGCAGAGCTCCAACCATGTACGCCGTCTGTAACCGCGTGCAGGAACGTCATCCCGTCGAATCTATGGGGAGCGAAAACTTTCTTTTCAAAAAAAAAAAAAACTCTCCGACAACCTTTACATCATTCTCGGTAGGTACCATGGCGAAATTATTTTCCAGATGATGAAAGCTGCAAGATGAGATTAGGAGCTGCAAATTGATTAGGCACCCTAAACTTTCGCTTCAAAGCTTCTTAATATAACCTAATGCCGGGAGCTGCAAAACCCCGTACGAGCTCTAGGAAAAAAGTTCGATGATTTCGCTTAGAGGGATTTATCAGAAAACTGGCAAGGATGAGAATTCTGAAATTTTTTTTCTGGCACGGTAGCTGCAACTGGTTAGCATACTGAGAATTCCAACCAGACTAGTCTCATGCACATTTTAGATAGAATGCAACGTCGACACACAGCTTAGGTAATAGTAGTATGATTGCGGCTTCACATTCTTGAAGTGTATGATAATAATCACGACTTGTACATATGTAACCACGCAATGAGGCTCAACTGGGCGCCAAGAACAAGCTTAAGCTTACTTCAACCTACCACGTAGGTCAACACTCTCTGCAGCGAGAACAGCTTCATTTCACTTGAACCAGGAATCCAGCTGCTCTCAATCAAGAGTAACAAAAATATTGTCTTACACACCTCCAGCCATAGCACAGACTGCCTGCAACAATAATTGTCCTGTTATACACATTGTTCACCCTCAATAATGGATCTCCTTTCCTCGCGCCCTCTCCGCGAGGGCTCACGCGGTGGCCGAAGTGAGTTCAGCTGGGAAGCCGTCAAAAATGACAAAGATCGCGAAAATTACCTTGGCCATTCCCTAATGGCGCCGGTTGGGCGATGGCAACAAGGGCGTGACTTGACATGGTACGCCAAAGAGAGTCAAAGCAAAGCTCAAGCTGTACAGGAAGAAGAGGATAGACGTAAAGAGGAGCTTCGGATAGTTAAAGAAGCAGAGCAGGAAGCGTTGGCGAGGGCGCTAGGATTACCTGTGAAGGTGAAGCCAAAAGAGGAGGAGAAGCCGGTTAGCCAGGAGGAGATCAGAAGGGCGGTCGGCAATGTGGGAGATGACGATGATCGCGAAGGCAAGGGCATTGGGTTCGGCAAACCGACAGGATTCGAGTCTGGCCTAAGGGGGGGGGGATGGGAGAAAGTAGAAGGCGCTGTTGCGAAGGAAGGATATGAGTTTGGGAGGGACCGGGAACAGCCTCAAGAGCGGCAATTGCTATCGCCACTTCACGATGGAAGTTCTGCTCCTCGCTCACGAAACCATCGAGAATACCTAGAGAGAGACGACAAAAGAGATTCGAGAAGCTCACGGCGGCGGGGCAGAGAGTGGGATGGATCCCGAGAGTGGGAAAAGGATAGGGAAAGGGATAGGCATAGGTCAAGACGGGATAAGTCTAGGTCAAGGTCGAGGGTGCGCCATGATGACGACAGGCGGAGGCGCCATCGGGATGAGAGGAGCAGGTCAAGATCACGGACTCGGCGGGATGATGACCGTAGTCGGCGAGATCGGGAGCGGAGAAGGTCTCGGGATCGAGAGGGAAATATAGATAAGGGGAGAGACAGGGACATGGATAAGCAAAGGGATAGGGGTCGAGATTATGGGCGAAGGCGTTAAGCCTAGTACCTATAGAAGCAATTGATTTATACGCAGTGCGGAACTTGACTGGGGCATCTTGTGGCACGGTACATACCTAATTGGTCTTATGGGTATTTGTTCTTTAGTTTCGTAATTAGGAACTTTTCAAGCAAAATGTCTATATATATTTTCCTCCAAGTACCGTCGCCATAGATTTCATGCTCCTACATAGTGCAGATTCATTTACAAAGGGAGTAGATACTAGCAAATTATTTAAAGCATTAACCAGTTTCCAGTCTCGATCCAAACAGTCTGATTCGAGATCAAAAAGTAAATTAAGGGTTTCACTACACTATTCCTTCTCATCTTTCACATCAGGGTAACGATAGAACCAACTGAGGTCTCCATTTCTTCGCGCCACCTACATCTCAATCTCATATTGTTTCAGTTCAGTAAAACCCCACCATACCGAAGTATTCCAGAGCCAGTGCCCACTAGGGCATATATATGGAACCACTAAATATCTTTAAGCTCTAGCACTTTCTTGCTGTGACTTCCCTAGCTCCATGCGATCAGCCACTTGCATGAAGTTCCTTTCATAGGACTGGAGTAGCATCCCAACAACGAGGTATGCAAGCAGAGTAGCCATTGCTATGAGAAATACAAAAGAGCTGTGTAGAAGTACCTAGCAAGTAAAAATGTTAGGAGTTCGTAGGTCTGGCGGAAGTAATACACTGAAGAGGCAATTGAAAGCAGCAACTTGCTCAAGGTGGTGGTAAGTAGATCAACATGACACACCTATTATTGTTCGCACATTATGACGGTCGGCTGAGGAGTTGGCTCTTTCGGCGGAGGAGGGGGCGGGGGAGGTGATGGCTGTGATACAGGTGCTGGCGCTGGTGATAATCCTGAGAAATACAGATTTGCTCTTAACCACTTCAATCGTTATTTGTGAGGGAAGTTAGACTTCTCTCTGGCAAGTTCCCTAAATAGGCATAGTAAAGTTAAATAAATGATATTTTAAGGCTCGAAATGATTATAGTCTCATACAGAGTAATAATTAATAACTAAACCTATATCTCACGGGACTATACTGGACAAGATCACAAAATGAAAAAGTAGAGGTACGGTGATTGGGCACCTATGCATCGTTTTTAAAGTTTATAAATATATTAATGGGAAAAATTTCAATTCACTGGTTGAATGGTGTAGTGGTTATCACATCTGTCTTACAACCTGTGTGGTTCACAGAAGGTCCCAAGTTCGATCCTTGGTTCAATCAGCTGTTTTTTTGTACTTTATTTTTTCATGACCGTCTAAATTTGAGGCATGGTAAAAAATGACGAAACGATTCCCCACTATCGCCCCACCAACCCCGCCGTTCTCCACAGTCCCCGATGACTTCAGATTTCACCGAGAAATCCACGAAATAGTATCTGCGCAAATTACCACGCTTCCGGACGTATAGAAACGAAGGCTAGAGGTGGAATCGGAAATTTTTTTGGAACCAAATTTTAAGGACAGGAGAACAAAAATATGTCAACAAAACAACCGCTCTCCCACAGACGCACACATCACCTCCTACTGCTCTCCCGCCTCCTCAACCTCCGAGAAACAGGCGCATCCCCGTTCACACTACTCCTGGACACGGTCGAGCAGTCGGCGAAGCCGCTTGTGAAGGAGTTCATGAGGCGGGCAAACGTACGTTCTGAACTCCAACCACTTTTGAGGGGACGGGAGGGAGGAAGGGGAGTAATGCATAGAGAGATTGAGCTGACGTTGAATACTGGAAGGAGATGTGTATTGTAATAGTTGGCAAAATGCTCAATTGTGTTTGTGGGATTCGAAAGTTTACGGGCGCCTTTTCCGGCGGGTGGAACGGTGGCGACAGCGACGGCAGGGCCAAAGCATGTGTTCATCACCGGAAGGGGGAAGAAAATTACAGAGTTACAGCAGGAAATTGTGGCAAGATTGAAGAGTATTGGGGGCGCAAGTACATTGAATTCACTGATCCCCTTTCCTAAATACAGTGTACATCTGACGATGCTGAGACTAATTCCCCCTCTGTGGACCGCAGAGACCCTTATAATAATCGATACCCTCCATCCCTTGTGCTCTCTCTACCCCCTTTATATCTCCATTTTCCTCTCCTCACTCATCACTCCCGCCACCACTCTCCTCGCAACGTATCATCTCGACATCCCCCTCACCCCGCCCCAAGCCCACTTTAGTGGTTACCCTGACACGGCCCCACACCCACTTACCCTCCTGCAGTACCTCTGCACGACCCTTATCACAGTCCACTCCATCAACCATGTCCTTAAGCAGAAGCGGCATCGAGATAAGAGTCTCCTGCCTCCGCGGTGGGGGCTACTGGAGGAACATCCTGGTGGACATGGAGGAGGGATTGAAGGTGCAATAATAGGCTTAGGAGCAAACTCGTACAAAGGAGGAGGGATTGTGCTAGAGATGGAACATAGACGGAAGTCTGGAAGGGGGGTACAAGAATGGTTTTTCCTTCCTTTTGGTGGTCAGGTGGGAGGAGGCAAGGAGTCGCAAGCAAAGGCAGCGCTATTTGAGAAAGTCGGTGCTCCGCCGGGAATGATCGAGAAACTGATTTTATTGGAGGATCATCCAGAATGGAGGCTCTCTGAACAGGTCCAGGTGCCAGATGCCTTTGTTGGTGAGGGGGATGAGGCGGGAGAGATGCCGCAAACAACGTTCGATTTGAGATTGACGGAGAAGCAAAGGAAGGCGAGAGATGAAGTCGTATTACCATATTTCGATGCGCAGGAGGAGTGGGGCGGTGGAGGTGGAGGCGGAGGAAGAATACTATATATGCCCGAGAAAGCTGTGGATGATTGGGATGATGAGGAAGATGAATTTTAAGATACTTAGCAGAACAGGCTTAGGGAAAAGTGTATGTGGAGCAACCGGCTCAAGCGCCTCTTCATGATATCTAGTACTGTCGCCTAATTATATAGTGTAACGAAAGCGGGTGCGGCGGGTATTCATGCGTATTATACAAATTCCGTAATCCTGTACAGATTCCCAAGCAGTTATGAAGACACGAAACAGGCACTACATATAATGGGAGTTCAAAACATGAAAAAAGGGATTTTTGCCCATCGGAGTGGCTAGAAAAACGGAGAAAGAGAAGGGAGAAGAGAAGGGAGAAAAAAAGAACAAAACTTAGTAAGGCATACCGTGAATAACAATCGTAACTGTAACATCGTGACGCTGAACATGGCTTGATCAGAAGAATCTCCACCAGATGAAAAGTATCATGACAAGGCCGACGCAACCTAGAGGCCCGTACTAGTCGCCAAAAAATGTCAGTGCATAAGCCACTAGGCAAATTTTTAGGCCTGAATGTACATACCTGCCTCCACATATATTCCCAATTAATCCTAACTGCAGCCTGTCGATACTTCTTACTCTCATCTCTCAGTCTGGAGCTCATATCACCCATTCTCTCTAGACTATCACCCCTGTACAGCAAATCCTCGATGTTCTTTGTCATGACCTTAGTGACATCCTTAAGTTCATCGTTCAGTTTGTCGAGGTTGGACGTAGCCCGTGTGTCTTGGTATGTTTTCTTTGTGCGCTGGATGAAAGTGTCGAATGACATGTATGCATATGGGCGGAGAGACGGGGAAAGCAGCTCGGAGCTAGGATGCGTAGAACTGAACTCAGTTGCAATATCTGTGAGGTATGTAAAGGCGAGTTTGCGGGGGTACGATTTGTCGGTTATAGTGAGGTAGACGATATGCTGGTCAATCAGGTAGCTATTTGGCGAAGTCAGTCAACTAAATACTGATAGGTAGAATCGTTACAGGATTGGCGTACTGTAACGTGAATATTCCGGACTCTATGCTTGCACGAGGCTCGGAGTTCTGGTTAAGCTGTCGGATAATGAGCTTTGCTTGCCGTTTTACCTCCGCTAACTCGGTCTCAGACTGAGTATCGTCGACGGAAGCACAAAGCGGGACGCCTGAACGCGAACAATGTAAGTATTTGACCTTTCTAGTGTTCAACTTGTCATTGGGGACATAGAGAAGAGTAAATCAGGATTCCTACCATCGAGGCGGACTATTTGCGTTGAGCGAACCATAGCGAGTCAGCGGGAGAGCTTGAGATGCAGACAAGAGGTGAAATATCAGTGAACCGTGATTGGAGATAGTTAGAGGCAGTGGGATACAGGCCGCCCGTAGAAGCTAGGACACACAAGCGGTGAAGAAAAGATGAGTTGTGATTGTCAATTGCTGGACCGTGGTATATTCACGCCTACTCAGAGCAAGGCCGCACGAAGTTTTGCCTTGAAGAGGACAAATTGGAGGTCCGGTGCTGACTCAGCGCAACGAGCTGTAACTAGTCCTGACTTAAATCAAAGTTAAGGTGACCGTGATCCATCAATATTAGGACTCTGGCACCCTTCGAAACATACCCACCAACAGCATTAACGGGGACTTTTACTGTTGTGACGAGACCGGAGGGCTAACTTATCATCTGATTGCCACAAATTCCCTCGCCAGAACACTGCAAACGCACTGTCAAGCACATCGACACCCTGAGCTTCGAACTGCTCCAGCATGGAGCTTCGGAAACGAACAAGGACCCCATCTGCAAAGGCGCTTGAAAATAGGAACGCCGTAGCCGAGTCTACAGGATCACAAAAGACACGAAATAGACGCCGCAAAGAGCCGGAACAGGATGACAATTCTTCAGCCGTTAAGGGAAAAAAGCGACGGCCAGGGAAGGTTGAAGTTAACTTGAATACGGACACAGTGACGGAAAATGATCAAACGGAAGGAAGCGAGTCAAAAAGTGCTACTGATGGGAGCAAAGAGGGGGGTTTGAATGAGGAAATTAGCCCACGCCACGGCAGCCCGAATGATGAAGAACGACATGATAAAGAAACAGGAAGGGGAAAGAGAAGAAAAGTGAACAAGTCGACACAATCAACAGCAGCAGAGAAAGATGGAATTACTTTGAAGACGCTTTCTAATATACCTGGGGATTATATAGAGGAGGAGAGAAAAGTTGATTCGGGAATGGTACAAGCTGAAGAGGAGAAGGATCAATTGCCTGATGGTGAAGTTGTTTCTCAAGGGGAATCTGAAGGCAGTGAAAGGAAAGAGCCTGGCACTGATATAGGGGCATCCCATCGGGTGGAAATATTCCAGCAAGCAAGTGATCCGCAACCTAGCCGTTCCTTAAATGTAAAACTTCCCGATCGCATGGTTCAGCAGAATAAAAGGAAGGACATGGATGACGGTGAACGTGGTGGCGGTCAGCAGTCCAAAACTCTCCCCGAGGAGCTGACAACCCCAAAACGACCCAAGCGGTTATCCAACGAAGATAGAACAAAGGATAATACTACTCTCTCCAGTACACCATCAACTCTCCATCATGGAAACACCACGGTGAATAGAGGTTCTACAAAGAAGGTTGAAGTTATAGTGCCAAGTACACCAAGTTATGCAACTCGGAAGCGAGGTCGTATAAACTACGAGGAACCGCCAGATAGTATATATGATGAGGACGAAGGTCTTAGCGCTTCTATACCTCACAGAGGGAAATCTTCACCCCCGAAGTCATCAAACAGGAAGAATGCTACAAAATTTACACCTATTGAGCACCAGGCGGTGGATGATTCTACACCGAAAGCACGGAAGGGAAGGAAGAGCCAATGGGATAAGGATGTGTTGTTGACGAGCAAGAACAGCAAGTTGGTAAAAGCTAGAGATCTTTCAGTACGTTTCTTAGACCTATTTCAATCACCAACCCAAGCTAATCCTCGCACAGGATGTTCTCAACTCTGCTACATGGGATTTGCTCTCTCCTGGGGAGAAGAAAGAATGCCTTGACCTACTTCCCACGATAGATAAGATTTTCGTTCCTTCCTCAAACACAGATGCGGACCCCAATGGTGAACCTGCATTGGTTGCAGATTTTTTTGAGTCGAATCAAGTATTCAAGGACTCATTAATTGAGTTTCAGGATGACCTCTCGAATGGTCGATATGAGCCCACATATGTAGCGCAGGCTGCGAGTGCCCGAAAAGCGAGATTGGAAGGAGCAGCAGATAAATACAAAGATGGACAGTACGAGCTATATTGGGGTCAAAGGCAGCGAACGGGAATGGTTGCTGGGGCAGCAGCACAAATTAAATTACCAGAATTGGTGCAAAAAGGGCTGTTAAAGGCTGGAGATATATGGGCTTTTAGGAGGAAGTTTTGTATAGAGAATTCGAAAAGAGACATCATAATTGAGAAGGAG